AAGTGATACATCAAAAAAAAAAAATGAGAACATTAATGGTGGTGATGAGATTATTATTGTCAATATTATATTGAATTGAAGGTAATGAAGGGAGATATTTTTGATGATAATCAAATTTATTCCATTAAGATTTTGATTATGAATCAGTTAAAAGATATTGAGTTAGATTTAAGACTAACTGATTTAGATATTGACATACTTGACAATGCGCCTTCTTAACATTTCATATTAACATTTCAATATAGTATAAAATATTGAAATTATATTCAATGTTAACCATTTAAGGAAGTAGAGTTTTAAAATGTTTAGTAGATGATTTCTTATAAGACAATCTACCTCATACTTTACAATGCTCTATATAATATTTTTGTTTTTAACAATTTTTTTTTATATCTCTTAAATGTTTTTTCAGAATATTTCACAAATCCTTTTATATATTATTAATTCGAGTAAGAAAAATTCTTTAGAATTTTGTGAGTTATGACGTTCTTCCTACCTCTACAATCTCCTTATTTGTTTCTTTAATTACTTAAAAGTGCATGTGTCAAAAAATTTTATTTTCTTGTCATATTATTTAAGTTAGTACAAATATTATTTTAAAGAATGTTGTTTTTATATTGTCCATGAGATAAAATTTAATTTTAATTTCATGGTTAGTATTTTTAATTTTGGTAATAAATAAAATAAAAAAAATAATAATTGAAATAGATTTTTATTTTGAGTTGGATGATAATTATCTTAAAGTGTGTGGGAGAAATTATTCTATTAATTTTATAAATGGGTATTGATGTTATGCATTTTTCTATCTTATTTATGTTAAAAAACACACCGATAAAGATTTTAAAATTATTAATTCAAGGTGGATATTATAGTAAACATGATAATTTTGGTTAATATACGTAACCCCTTATTAATTTTTTACAAAATTGTGGAATCAATTTAAAAATATTATGCTTGTAACTTTGGAAGAAAGTTGAGCACTTGAACATCATAATTGGACTCTAATATGTTAACATGTTTAAATTATATGAGTGTTTTTGTGATAAAATATTTTTAATCAGTATCCATACTTGTGTATACATATGGTACTAAGTCATAAATATTTTTAAAACACTTTTGAATTGTGAACTAGTAGAAAATTTAGAATAATTTTTGAGTTTGGAATTGTATAGAAGTAAAAATTTTATGATGCTTTTGAAATTAAAATGGGATCTATAGCTATTTGCTGGTACTTTGTAAGTTGTTCATGATTTTATTATCTTGACTTTTTAGAATCTTTTAAACTTAAAATTTGAAGTTTTTAGATTGGTGAACAGTTTAAAGCTCAAATATATAAATCTTCATGTATACTTGTGTCAAGTGTAATAAATTGGGCTGTTCATTCTAACATTGAGAAAGTGAGAGTGCAAGTAGAACCTGAAGTGTCTATTCAGTCTATTGATATATGTTGAACATGTATAACGTATGCAGCCTTCTAGACATTCTCATATCCTTGTGATTATATTATTTTTCTAAACGAGCAATATCAAGAGATTGAAGAGATGATTGTTATGTATGATGAAAATATTGGCGATTTGTAATATGGTAAATGAATTGATACGAATTATTAATTAGATATGAGATCATGTTATATTTTTTCAAATTTTGAATCTAATGAGTATTTTTAAAGATAAATAAATAAATACAAAACTATTGCAAGAGACTGTGATTTGAAAAGGGTATTGTCCTTACCAATGTCATAAAGATAGGTTTACAATGATTAATGTGGTACTGTGACATTTTTATCTATTACTTTGCCAAATAAAATAAATTTGATTTGTAAGTGAAACAAATTTATCTATGGCCTCAAACGAATTTTTGAGCAATGGTATTTAAAGGTTTACCAAAGACTATTACTTGGCTTTATGGATAATATTATTAATTTATGCATATATCTCAAGGTCAGTTGATGCAATTTATTTTTTTTGATTCTTTATACTGATGGAATTGTACTTATTAGTAATAATTTCAAATTAATACTTGATGTGAAGATATTGTTGTTAATAAATTTTTGATATAAAATATTTTGATAAAGTATTTTATGTGTTTGGCATTAAGATACATTAAAATAGCTTAGAAGATTTTTTGTCTCATATCAAAGAGCATACTTAGATCACATTCTTGCCAAATTTAATATGCAGAATTGAAAGCTTTACATTGCTCTTCTTAGTGATTGATACTAATTAAGTAACATTCAGTATTTATAAAATGATTTTGATAAAGAGTTCGTGGCGAATCTCTTTTATGCTACTATTGTAAGAGTTTAATGAATTATGAAGTTTGAATTAAGTTTGGTGCATATACAATTTGTTTATTAGACAATTATTATTTTAATTTAAGCCTTGACCATTGGGTTGGAACATATAAAGTGTTATGATATTTATAGAGAATTAAAGATTATACTATTGTCTATAGAAGAATTAGTCATGTTAATATTATTGGTTGTACAATGTCAACTTTGGTAGTTGCTCAGATGATATAGTGTCCATTATTGGTTACATTTTTATGTTTGCATGAGGTGTTATTTCATAAAAGAGTTTCATAAAATCTTTTATAATTTTTCACTATGCAACGTGTTTTAGAACTCGACTTGAGTTATGTTATTAAAAATTTTATTCCAGAGCTTGGAATTGTTAATTTCATTTCCAAACCTACAAAAATATGATATATGATTTTAATTTTCTTTATGAAGAATAATAAAAGTTTTGATGGTGTTAAATATATAAATTTAAAGTAATTCAGAATTAGAGAGTCGTTAAAGATGATATTATTTATGAGCACATGTTACAGAATACATACTAGTGGATCCTCTAAATAAAGGTCCTAGGCCAAATTTTAGTTTGCTAAATATATTGGGCATATGGGTACTTTATACTTTTTTATGTGCTTGGTTAAATAAATTTTTTACCAATGAATATTATCTATGGTGTATTTCAATTAATAAAGTTTAATGTGTTCATTCACATTTTGTTTATAGCTATGTGTGTGTACACATAAATGGTAATTATTATATATGTATTCCTCTTATATGAATGAGCTCTTACAATTATATTTTGAATTCGAGACATAAAGATAAACACTTTGGTTTAGAAGTATATATGGATCCATAAAGTATGATGGTTTAGAGCATGAAAGAACTCGGTTTAGAGGTATAAAGGCTTCTTTTAGAAGTGGACAAAAGAATGATATTTCTTGCAGGGTCTTTTCAAGACCATACAGAAGACTGAATATGGAACTAGCATGTTATATAATTTTTGGATCAATTATGCTGAAATTCCACACTACATTTTACCACATATAGGAATCCATGTTTGAGAGATATTAGTGTTTGTAATTGTGGAAGGTGTTATGCTGTTCAATAGCATAATTCGATATTAATATTTCTCATTGAATGGAATTATGTGCTGAGATGTTTCTATTCTGAATCATGTTTATGTGGCCACTAACTTGAGAGTCATTTTTCTTAAATAAAATATTTTCTTAAATTAGTAGTCAATGTTGCCAAAGTGGGGAATGTAAGAATTTGTTCTTAATTAGGTTGCCATTGATTATATTTTGTTTGGTTTATGAAAAATGGGTTGAAGGTGATTCAGACAGATTAACTGGTATGAGCCTAAAATTATTACCGTGATCCATAAAATTTTGGGCCATGGTCCATCTTGGTGTGTTTATTATTTTATACATCGATATGTGATACGGAGGTGTAAGGTCTGTTTTAAGTTATTTGGATTCCTTAATGGGAGGACCCAATAATTATTTTATTTAGGCCCAGTCCTCTCTCATATTCTTGTTCGGGTTTATATATCTATATATATATATAGATCAAAGGGTTGTCAGTCCCATTGAAAAGACTAGGGTCGGCCTTGAGATTTATAGGGTCTTAGGTGGGCTTTGAAAGTGGGGCCCTCCTACATATATCTTTTTATAAAAAAAATTACAAATAAAATAAAAAGTGACCAATAATTTTTTTTTATTATATACTAGTTACAAAAAGTTTCCTTATATATGTAATCATTAAAATTTATTTTCATATATTAAGATATAAAAATATCATTACAAAGACTAAAAAAAGATAAAATAGGGTCTTGTGTTGTTTTATAGTTTAGCAATAATCAACACAAACAGCATAATTTACTGATATCTGATAACAAAATGATTATGTTATTGTAATATGATATCTGATATGAAAATCACAATCCACACAAATCACAATCCACTAATTATTTGAAAAGAAAACACAAATTATTGGAAAAAGTTGCGAGAAGACACTACAAGAATTAACACTTTTGGCAACAAAAAAATTGGTCGCTAAAAGTCAATTTTTGGTCGGCAAAAGTTATCCGCGACCAATTTTTTTGGTCGCTACTTTGGTCGCCAATTGAGGGTCGGCAAAAGTAATTCGCGACCAAAATTGTGGTTGGTCGGCAAAAGTTGGATTTCGCGACTAAATTTTTGGTCGCTAAATATTTAATTACCGCGACCAATTTATTTTGTCGCCAAAACACTTTGGTCGCGAAAAGTGATATTTTCCCGACCAAAAAGTTTGGTCGCCAATTATCACATTCAACGACCAAAAAATTTGGTCGCCAATTGTGACATTCCACGACCAAAAATTTTGGTCGCCAATCGTGACATTCCGCGACCAAATTTTTTGGTCGCCAATCGTGACATTCCGCGACCAAAAAGTTTGGTCGCCAATTGTGACATTCCACGACCAAAAAAGGTTTTGGTCGCCATTTGTTACTTTTCGCGACCAAAACTTTTGGTCGGCAAAAGTGAGTTTCCACAACCAAGAACTGTTTTGGTCGGCAATAGATGTATTTTTTGCGACCAAAACTCTTAGTCGGCAATTGTCATTTTTTACGAAAAAAAAAAATTTATTTGTCGCGACTAATAAATTTGTCGCCAAAGTAGGAAAACAATACACCTGTAGTTCCTAATAATTCATTCAATCCATAGTAAACCTATAATTTTAAAACATCATTCAAATTAACTGAATCATTAACATTCGACACAATACAACTATACTAAGTTTTCATTCACAAGTCACATCCATCCAACATAACAAATTGAAACAATACATAATTTAGATTTACAACATCAGGAAAATTGCTTAATCCACTAAGTTGCCTTGATAGCCAATCAAAAAGATCCTTGCGCCCTTCCGTGCCAAGCTTCCCATCCATCAAAGCAGTAGTGATGTAAGGCACCTAATAAAGAAACAGAATTGAAAAATTTATCAGAGAAGCATGAAAAATATATAAAATTGATTACTGCATAAACGAAATAGAGAAATTGGAACCCAACCATTTTGTCGAGATGAACAGCAGCAAGCCAAGCATCTAAAGTAGTCAGAGTGCTTTCTCTCATATGTTTTTTATTGTCACCAAGGCATTTCAAAACACCTGACAGTATACACTTATTGGTTTTTCCTGTATCCCCTCCACCTGACAGGTTGATTTCCTGTATCCCCTCCACTTGCTCTTTAAGTGAGACAATGGCTGCAACACAACTACTGGTCAAACTATGGTTTTTCTATATAAACTCAGCTGATCATCCTAATTGACAAAGTTGGAATTGATTCTATTAGTTGCATATGTCATTCCTTTCTCACACACTGACAGCAGGATGTTACCACTGTAGAGAGAGATTATTTTTGAGGGGCTCTGTGTATATGAGTACATTGATGATAGTACTTAACCCGTAAGGTCTACTTTAAATACACAAAGGTTTCCCATGTGAGTTCGCAATGAACAAAGCAATCATTATAACAACTGGAGTGATCAACTGTTACAAAAACATAAATGAATTATGTTGTTTCCATGGTTAAATACGTTCACTAGTTCACCCAACCAGATAAGCATCGACTACATGAATATCAATCAAATGATCAAATGATAAACTAAAAGACTAATTGACCATAAAAGTTCAGTCTAAGATTAAGCTGTGAGTTTGCTCCTCTGATACACAACCACACTTATGCCAAGTAAAAAGAAGAAGATCACTGGTTGAATTTGCCATGTAAGAAGGCAAGTAAACCCTTATGTCAAAACTTGATAGGCACTAAAGAAACAACCAAGCTAACACCAACTATTTAAGCAAGGATGAGAAAAATAGCTAAATCACAGTATAAAATTTAAACTACTTTAAATAAGATTGTGCCCTTAGGGGCCCATGTCTCACACTTACAATAGAGAGCTGACTTCCAGATTCATCTTTCGATACAATACTAGCGGTCCAATCATTGAGCTTCTCCGAAAGAGAAGAAAATTTTTGTTCTGGGACATACAACCGTAGCCTCATTGGAGATAGTTTTATAGGTAAGTGCTTTTGAAGCTCCCGAATAACATCTAGCGACTGTAAAAGACAAACAGTTAGCTGAAGTACATAATGTTTAAAGCAATCAGCTTCTACAAAAAATCATATGTCAGCAGTGTGTCAATTGGGAGATGACCATTCCTTTCAAGATATATGAAATCATCAATTTTACAAATAACAATAAGTCACAGCAATAAAATTGCAACAGGAATGGAATGACAAATTGGAACTTGCTAAGAGAGCATTTGCTAGAGGAAAGTGAACTTCTTTTTCATTTTTTCTTTTTTATTTAAGCAAAGAATTAAACAAAATTTCAAATGTGAATAGCACAATTAATTGAATTTCCTAACAATTTGAGAGTACTTAACACAGATCAATGCAGAGCAGAAAATTCGCTAAAACTCAGAAAACCATAAATCTCTTGTCAATCTACAACCAAACAAATGAACTCACCTGTTTTTTTGAGCTACTATGGGGATCAACCGCAAAATGGATTTCATGCATCAGACGCTGAATCATGCTAATAGTATAAGGGCGTTGAGTCTCAGGGTTAATAGTCTTCTGCATAACTATGGTAGCAATATCCCGAAACTAACTCGATAATTGAGAATCCCTTTCCTTTCCAGCAACTTGTAGCTCTCCTTTGTCCAAAATCTATTCCAAATTGAGGTACATCAGTTAACCACCACTTTTTTTCAACAAATAATAATAATAAATTTACTTAAAGAACTTGTCAAGTTAACCCACACAAGCCACTGCCACAGAATAGTCTATCACACAGTGACATATTCCAAATGTAAGTAACAAAGCTTAAAACTGACCTCCAAGCATATATTTGTCTGATCATCTGTCCCAAAAGCTGCTACTAAATCTTTTGACTTGGCAAGAACCCCCTTCGAAACATTTGAATAAACAGTTTGTGACTGCAATACTTCATCCAAGTCCTTCTCTCTATTTCAAAATTTTAAGATATTAGCATTTTAGTAATTATATATCCAGAAAGAATGGGAAAGAGAAGAGGAAGGGGAGATCAGGTCCTTGATTCCTTGAACACATCATAAAAGAACGTAGAAGACAGAGGCAAGCATCCAGGGAATTGGAGCTACAAAACCAGAAAAGAAATTAAACGACTTAAAGGGAAGTCATTCAAGAAACTTGAATCACCTGTGTGAAAAGCTCTTGGACAATTATCACAAAATAAAAGATCTCCTCCATCTACACAGATTGAGCAAAGATCATCGTTTTATTTGTCGTTTTATTATTATTATTATTGTTATTATTATTTTACCTTATTTAATGCATAACAAAATTCCACATGATAAAAAAATCCATAGGTAATTTACCTGAGTATACAAGCCATTAGAAAAAACATGGCAGGAACAATGTTACACATGGCAGTGGCAAAAGTAGCTGTTGTGTACTTCATTCTAGTATAGAACAAGTTCCGGTCTATCACAGGCCTGATTACACAAAAATAAGAATAAAAACATTACATACATGCATTAGATTCACCTTTAAAGCATAATTAAATTAATTTATAAGGATTTTATTTTTGAGGTGAAAAGATAAATTAATTACTCCAACAAGCCCAGTAACATTATCTTCAAGAAGACAGAAGTGGTCATCCTTGGCCTTACTTTCCTGTACATTTGTTATAGTCAATAACATAGTTTGATTAGTTTAAAACCTTCTCTCATAGAACAAAGAACAGAGAGAGAGAGAGAGAGAGAGGGGGGGAGAGGGGAATACCTTTCAAAGAGGAGAGCAAAAGGAGCAAAGACAAGAGCGGCGACAACATTCCGGTAGACAGCGAAGGTGTAAAGGCTCATCCCTTGGTTTAGACCAAACTTGGCTATAATACCTAACACACTACTCAAAAAAGAACATTTCGCATAGACAAATTCACAAGATAAGGAGCAAATGCAATCATAATCATTACAACAAAAATAGTTAGAAACTATAAGGTACCCTTCCACAGTTTTAGTGTAATGATAAAAAAGCAACGCCATCCAAGTATGCGCTCAAAGTAGGTAGTTTATCAAGTTGTTCGTGGAATGTCATTCAAGAAGGGTCAACAGATATGAGACATGTTGGCAACAATGTGTTCAAGTTCATTCTTGCTTGATGAAATTATCTTATTTAAGGAAATTTCAAGCAGCAGTAATGAAAATAGGAACTAATAAGCTAGAAAAACAACCAAAGGCCATCTACAAGATAATATATGCCTCAGATAATGACAAGTGATGCCAAACGTAGCTTTTCCTAACATGAATTTTATTTTATTTTCCTTTCCTTTGTGGACAAAGAAAAATTTCATAGAAGGTGCCAGACGAAGCACAACCAATTCAAAAGCAGAGTATGCGGGACCTATAGAGAAGCTGCTCCCCCCCCCCCTCTGCTCCACTAATAACATAGTCTGATTAGTAATAACATAGTCCCACTAATAACATAGTCTGATTAGTAACATAGTCTGATTAGTAAGGCAGAACTGCTCCACTTTCTCAAACTGGTGAACTCGGAAAATCCCAAGAGTATCGCGACCATGAGAACCTGCATACTCATAATCATAATCATAATCAGTTCTGTCTTTCAACAAACCATTAGAAGCACTCTTTCATATTTTCTCCCTGACACAGTGCTGAGATCCTAATGGATATGAATGTGAGTGGACAGCACCATGCACGTATCATGTGAAACAAACCACTAGAAGCACTCTTCATACTTTCCCCCTGACAAGTGCTGAGCTCCTAATGGATATCAATGTGTGTGGACAGCCCCATACAAGCATCATGTGAACATGTGTCAATGTGTGTAGACATAAGAATGAAACTAAATGGCCACTATTATCAATGTATTCTTTGAAAATAAGGCAACAGCAGCTTTTAAAAAAGTAAGAATATATTTTTAAGGATGCAAAGCACTTTGTAGAAATCAGAATCCCAAGCCTGTAGTTTCATCTCGGCTGTATCTCTTGGAAGGAATAGTGACAAAAATGGGGAATAGGCTTCCTAAGCCAAAAAAAAAAAAAAAAAAAATCTAGCAGAATTATTTACATTACAAATTAGAACATTAGCTCTGGGCATATCCACCCTTGTAGTTTGGGTAAAATTGTAAGGGTCGAAAACAACAGTTTTGCTCAAAAAAGAGGTACATTAGTTGTATTCTCCTTTAAGCCTATGTCATAAATAACAGACTAAAACACTAGCTTTGGGTGTATCAACTTTCATAGAGAAAAAATTGAATATTCAAGATGTGTGACCCAACAACCAGTTTTTATGCGGGAGATTAGAAAAAAAAGGCATATTAGATGTTTAACACATGTTCTCCGTTAAGGGTTGAGCCTATATCATAACAAATGTATGGCAGAAAACTGCATAAAACAAAGCCCATCAGTGAAACCTCTTTCTGCTCCAAACGCTTGTTTAACTCATTAAACTCTTTGCCCATCGTTGTTCGCAGGAGTGCATGCTCCCACTCTTTTGCTACAGCTTCATCAATTTCCATGTAATTTTCACCTGCAATTTTTGGCAAATTCATTTGAAACATAAAGAACTGAACTAGAAAAGTGCAATATGAGTCGCATGTTTTAGAGACTAAACACACCTTACACATACTGTGTAAAATGAAAACTGATAACATGCCAACTAAATGACAGAAAAATCAAAGTCTGTCATGCATTAACTAAGGGTATGGCATCTTGAAGCTTATTCCCCTCTACTTTCAGCCTCATTCATCTGAAATAATCTCACAACTAAGTAGCTTACCTGTCATGGCTTCACCCATGGGATAACCAGATGCATCCATGCTCTGTAAGCCCCTCTTTAGCCCATCCCTTTTAACAAAACAGGAGCCATCCTGAGATAGAAAATGTCACATAACTATCAATCAAGCGCCGACCAAAAAAAATAACTATCAATCAAACTATTGTAATGACCAAAACCTCAATAAATATGGTCTGTTGACCACAATTTAGTGGCAATAAAGAGGAAAGTTAAAATTGCAATATATATATATATAATTCTTTTATTTTTCTTTTTCGAAGATAAAGAAGGAATTATATTAGCGTACTTCAGCATCTGTTTCTCTCGGCTCTACAACAGCACGTCTGCTGTGGTATTCATGTAGTTCTCGAGAAAGCTCCTTATTAAGTTCAGCCTGCAAGTACTCTAGCTGCTGCCGCATATTTTGCATCTCATTCGCACAGAGGTTGAAAACATGAAAGTTAATAATGGTGTTTCTGTTGCCCGAAGGAGAATGCATCAATTTTATAAATTTAATAATCACTTATTAAATAAAACTTTCAGCTTCCACTTTAATTGTTCATGAGACGTAAGACTTTACAAATTTTGAAAACTTGGAGTGACAGAAGTCTAGTAAGGCTAAAGGGTTGATTTACCTGGAAGAGAGTTACAAAACCATTACCAAAATGAAAATAACTAATGAATGATAGGTAATCCAAATTAAACAGATGTACAAAAATAGCATGCTCAACTGTACCAAAAGGGAGGTTGAGTGTAATTACGCTAACTATATTTTTCTCAAATATCAGGGGAGGTAAGAAAAAGGGTCTCCATAAGTTAATTTCTGAGTAATAAAAAATCCATCAATCCTCCTAAATGCCCTAATTGTTTATTGATTGCTCAACATTGTAAAACAAAAAACATCCCAATCCAAGTATACATTGAACTGTGTTTGTGCGTGTATGTAATGTATAATGTATGGTTGAGAATAAAATCGAAGATAATACATAAATATAATATCATACTGAAGATGGGCAGGTTTGCCACATTGAGCACA